AGGCAAGTTGTACATAATTGCATTATGTGCTATCGCAACAAGCCTCTGCTGCATGATCAAATAATGGGCTCATTGCCACAAGAACGAGTTGAGGACGCATTCCCTTTCGCAACAACTGGGATAGATTACTGTGGACCATTTTCAATAACTTCACAATTAAGGGGTAGGGGCCTTATCAAGGTCAACTTGGCAGTGTTTATCTGCTTTAGTACGAAGGCAGTGCATTTGGAACTGGTTCCAAATGTAAGTACGATGGCGTTTATTTCTGCACTCAAGCGATTTATCGCTCGACGAGGTAAGTGCAACACAATCTTCTCGGATAATGCAACCAATTTTGTTGGGGCCAATGGAGAGCTCAAGGAAGTTTTGGCACTGTTTGCTTCACAGCAACACATCGCTTCAGTGGAAACATTCATGGCCAAGGAAGGAATAAATTGGAATTTTATTCCCCCAAGGTCACCACATTTCGGCGGGCTTTGGGAAAGTGCGGTGAAGCAGGCCAAGTATTACTTACGTCGCACCGTGGGGTCTCACATTCTTAGTTTTGATGAGCTACATACAGTATGCTGCCAAGTGGAGGCCATGATAAACAGTCGTCCTCTCACACCGATTTCAACCAATCCTGATGATCTTCGAGTGATCACCCCGGCACATTTTTTGACCGGCCGCACACTAAACACCATTCCGGAGCCATCACTTTCTCTCATCAATATGGGTACACTTAAACGGTTTCAAATGATACAAGCCATTCAGCAACAATTTTGGAAGCGATGGCACTCAGAATATTTAAAGGAGCTGCAGCATAGAGGTAAATGGCAAACTCTTCGAGATAACTTAAGGGAAAATGACATGGTACTGATCAAGGATGAAAATACACCACCTCTAAAATGGGCACTCGGTCGAATCATTGAAACCATGGCTGGATCTGATGGCTTAGTACGAGTTGTAATGGTAAGGACAGCTGATGGCGTGGTCAAACGACCAATAACAAAGGTTTGCAAGTTACCAATTGAATCTTCAACTCACCACTAACAACAAACAATTCATCGCTACCACTACAACAATCATTGATTCATCGTTATTATTCGATTGAAAACACAGTTTTCAAGAGGGGAGGATGTTGAACACCACAATGCAGAAAAGTTTGTCATCGCATTTTTCTTCGCTTGCCCACTGTATTGGCATGCATTATGTGCTAACATAGCCGTCATCACTGCCTATACATTGCACATATTTACATATGTATGTTTATACATATGTACATATGTTCTCATCATTAGAACTACTTGGTTTCACTTTTCGTTGTCAAATTGCTCATCGGCTGCGAGCTCACGCCACAGCTCCATCGAAAACAGGTTCCGTAAACAACAACAAAAAGGGTTCAACATCACGTCACCTAACCAGCCACAGGTCACGTAGGCAAACAACCGCAACTATTCCTCCCACATGCCGTCACATAAAATCAACAGCCTATCAGTTTACCGCTCTTCAATTCCACAGCTAAACTGCTAGTACATAATTTGGACTTAGGTATTTGCTGATTAATTTGGAGAAAACCAATCGTCTTTAGTACGTCGTTGGATACAGTCCGTTCTTTCATCGCGCATTGTAAATTAATTCATTTTCGACTCACTATCGCTGTTAAGATTTTAAGAGTAAATAAATTAAATAATTAATTAGTTTTTCCATTGCAAATTTCGTGTTTTATTTGCATCTATAGCAAGTGGAAAAGCCCATTTGCGCGACCNATACAAGCCATCCAGCAACAATTTTGGAAGCGATAGCACTCAGAATATTTAAAGGAGCTGCAGCATAGAGGTAAATCGCAAACATGGTACTGATCAAGGATGAAAATACACCACCTCTAAAATGGGCACTCGGTCGAATCATTGAAACCATGTCTAGATCTGATGGCTTAGTACGAGTTGTAATGGTAAGGACAGCTGATGGCGTGGTCAAACGAGCAATAACAAAGGTTTGCAAGTTACCAATTGAATCTTCAACTCACCACTAACAACAAACAATTCATCGCTACCACTACAACAATCATTGATTCATCGTTATTATTCGATTGAAAACACAGTTTTCAAGAGGGGAGGATGTTGAACACCACAATGCAGAAAAGTTTGTCATCGCATTTTTCTTCGCTTGCCCACTGTATTGGCATGCATTATGTGCTAACATAGCCGTCATCACTGCCTATACATTGCACATATTTACATATGTATGTTTATACATATGTACATATGTTCTCATCATTAGAACTACTTGGTTTCACTTTTCGTTGTCAAATTGCTCATCGGCTGCGAGCTCACGCCACAGCTCCATCGAAAACAGGTTCCGTAAACAACAACAAAAAGGGTTCAACATCACGCCACCTAACCAGCCACAGGTCACGTAGGCAAACAACCGCAACTATTCCTCCCACATGCCGTCACATAAAATCAACAGCCTATCAGTTTACCGCTCTTCAATTGCACAGCTAAACTGCTAGTACATAATTTGGACTTAGGTATTTGCTGATTAATTTGGAGAAAAACAATCGTCTTTAGTACGTCGTTGGATACAGTCCGTTCTTTCATCGCGCATTGTAAATTAATTCATTTTCGACTCACTATCGCTGTTAAGATTTTAAGAGTAAATAAATTAAATAATTAATTAGTTTTTCCATTGCAAATTTCGTGTTTTATTTGCATCTATAGCAAGTGGAAAAGCCCATTTGCGCGACCAACGATGTATTAATCAGTGAACCAATCAGCTGGTAAATATCAGTTGGAAACCTATGTAGCGAACAGTTTTAAATGCATTGTATATTTGACACCTAATAAACAAAACGCAAACAGCTGTGACAAAGTTTAAACAGCAGAAATGACAAAAAGACAAAAAGGGCAAAATCAATGTGCACAAACAAAAACAATTGTACAACAACAATATATTATATGAAACAAAATACTCGGCACATGCTGTTTTACTTATCTTTAAATTGTGCACCAGAAGTTTAACACTTTTTTTAATTTTTTACTTTACTTTTTAATTTTTTACTTTAATAAGCGTAAACAGCTTTATAAAACACACAATTTAAACAGATCACAGAAAAACACAGCTTCACAGCTTGACGTTTGCGTCATTTTTGGGAGAGTTGTGTAGAGATTGAAGTTGCAGGATTTTACCCGATGCTTTTTTGTTCCGTACGTTTTGCTGTTACTCACTTTTTACTCTCATTTCAGAGAGTGATTTTGCTGTTTGACCTTTTTCCAGGATTTTACACGAAAAGTATTGGATCAGAGCTATTATATCATCCCTACATATGCATATTATACATACATATATTCATGTTTGTTCATCAGTTATCCCAGTTAAAATGATTTCAGTATTTTTTTAAATTTTCGCCTTGCTTTTTTATCAAAATAGACTACTAAACCTATGCCTAAAACTATCTACGAATATCAAAACCAGGGCATGAATCACGTATGACGACAATCGTCTGAACGATATCCTGTCGAGATTGTCTTGCTTCATAAAAATCAAAAATTGTTTGCTCGTTTGTGCGATATCGTCAACTCGATTCCAGTTTTGCTTCACGTAACAGTAACAGTAACACGTAACAGCAACACAAATGCATAAATCAGTGTTTCGACAACATCGTTTGAACGGCTATCGTTTCTAAGTTACGTGATTCATGCCCAGTTGCAACAAATGAGTCCATATATATTTATGTACATACATAGGTACAAAACCGTATGCATGTGCGGAGTTTAAATAATCGGAAGTAATAATCAATTGTAGCGCATTTCCTCTTACTATGCATATGCCTAAATGTATGCAACCATTTACAATAGCAAGCAAACACAAGGTGCTCCTAATGAAAATAAAAATTGTATGCTGAAATACACGTGCTAAGCCCTTCGAAATTTTTGTGCTGGGATATGCGTTACAGCTTCGCAAATTTTACCCCTACCGAAACCAAAAATGTATACACATCAAAAATGTATTATAATGCATATGAAGGAAGTAATATTCACAAAATATTTTTACTTAGTCTAAAAAAATTTAGGGAAATCGTCATCTTTAGTGACTGCTCGGCAAATCGGACATAGCGCTTTTGTATGAATTTTGTCTGGCTTTCTAATATGTTGAAAATATTGCTGGAAAATCTTAAAATGTTTGCACGGAACGCAGCATATAACACAGAGAATATTGTTTTGAGTTTTATCTTCAGGAAAAAATTCTGCATTATGATCACTTGCTTCACTATTTCCGAGCTGCGGATTCCTTTACGAAGACGTAGGGAACATGTGGTACGAAGTAGTTATGTAAAACTATGAAAAATTTTACCTACAAGCAGGTGGCGCAATTAACAGGTGAAGTAATACAACAGCTTTCTCGCTTTATTTTCTGACATTCGGCTGCCCTTTAGTCACATTTTATAGGCAAACTTTCAAATAAGGCGGGCGGGGTGCATGCAATAACACCATACGCAATAATTCCCATTACTTGGACATTAAAAAGTAGTTTCAGAAATGAACTAGTGTCATTTTATTATTATTCTTTCTTCTAAACGGTTATAATGACAGCAGTGCATAATTGCGAAAGGAGGGGAGAGGGGCGTCGCGCGAACGCGGACCGCCGCAACGCTGGGCACTTTCAAAATTGTATACTTACGAATCCGTCCATTTAACTTGTTCATTTACTACTTTTTGTCAAATGTAACTGGGTGACTACCTATGTGCACTATTTTGCGTTATTACTCAATTGTTAGGTTAAAAAGTTAGTCTTATTGCTCAACGAGAAATGAAATAAAGCAAATTTATGTTATTTCACATTCAATTGGAAAATAATACAAATTTGCGTTATTGCCGTTTGTGTTGACGTTCGCAAGCATACGCCCTAAAGGGTACATTATACGAGTGCTAAAGTCACTAAGCGACTTTAGGTGTTTTACACATACTGACACTGATATATTTATGGATTGTTTCATTGTTGAAACGGATGTTTTCTTTCCGGAGTACCGAATAATTTATAAATACTTACAGCAAGTATTTCTTCAACACTTTTTTAATACATGCGCATTAATAATATGGTCGGTCATACGACAAGTGGACATATCTTCTTACGAACAACACACAATTATACAAGGGGTTGCTGCTGAAGAAAAAGAACGTGCCTTCCCTCGCCCATAAGAAAAAATTTAAATTTTTAAGCATAAAGCTTAAAATAGAGCAATGAAAGGAACAAAAGACCCACAGAGCTTTAATTTTAAATGTATCATTGTATTATTAGTTATTTTCATCTGTGAAATTGAATCTGATGACAAAAACATTAACAAACTTCTTAATAATCAAGTAATTGTTAGTAGACAAATAATGTGTGTTTTGGAAAAAAGCCCTTGCGATCAATTGGGAAGGCAATTAAAAGGTAAGTCAAAAAAGAAATATTAAAAAGTTTTATTCTGGTTGAATGATTAAAAATTTACGTCTATAAACACAACGAATTGGCTATGACGGTTATTTAGGGTCAATTGAATTGAATCCACCTATCTGCGTTAGTATACATATCGTCGATGTTTTAGCAAATCCGCCCAACGACCAATTGTAAAACCGCCTATCTTACGGCGCTCAAATTTTACAGGAGAGCGAAAAAACGGGTTTTATCTGAAGGCACGATTTTACGATTTTTGTGCATAAATCTCGATGCCAGGAGTTCAGGGTTACATCGACGGTATGACACATTTCACGTGTCTACCTAAAAAAAAAAATGGCGAATACATCTCATATTTTTTTTGTGAATTGGTCTTTATATTAGTCATTTATCAACAAAATACTTTTGGATTTCTTGAAGAGTTGATGAAGTTGGAGGGGTAAAAAGTTTCGAATTTTTCATCAATATTTATAATCTAGTTTGTTTATTTAATGCTTTTAAATAGAACAGCAGACAAATGATTGAAGACGTGATATTTATCTTTTTCTTATGAACAATTTTTAAAGTCAAAAATATTTTTAAATTTCTGTCATTATCGGACAGATTTGTGTCCTTTTATATTTTTTAATCAATTAACAAAATTTTAAATCTTGCGCGCTACATGAACACTACTCAATGCCACGTTGTAACATGCTAGGCTATTTACTGCCGACAGATGCTAACACTGAAGGCACATAATACAGGTCAAGGTACATTGAACAGGTAGTATCAGTAGAGCAGCTGATTTGATTTATTTTCAAATTATTTGGTCTCGAAAATGTCAAATATTTTTAATTTTTTCTCACGAAAATTATAAGTTGTTAAAATCCATTTGCTTGTGAAACCTTTTTCCATACAAAACAAGCGATTGAATAGCAGCTTTTGGAACGTTCGCCCAACTCGGCAGCACGACCGCTGATTACTGGGCCTTGCAAAGGATGGATCAATGCTTCGAGAAGCAAACAAATTTACTAGGAAAGAAAGTTGCATCAATTTTTATTTTTTCCAATTTCAATTTTTTATTTTTTATAATTTTTTGTATTTCACATGGCACGCTTTGATTTAGAAGAAAAAATTCAGAACAGTTTTTGACACTTTCGATACCAGAAGCAACAACAAAGTACACGCAAATGTTGTTTTTGCTCTACTGATAATGTGCCTTGATACAGGTAGAAGTCATTTTGACGTTGCTCTCATGAGAAACAAACCATTAAACTTCAACTCGTTTTCCTTTTATTTCCTATATTTCGTTACGCTTTGAATGTCTTGTCGTTTTTTTTTTATGTTCGTTAATAACAAATTTCAATTAACATTTGAATTTTTGTAGTGTTGTGCGGTTTATACTTAGTGTATGTGTTAAAAATGCAACACCTGAAGTGTTGTTTTTTATGTGGTGTTAAATACATTGCAGATACCACTAAGTTTTTTTTAACGTGCCTCAACGTCTTCGGGTAAGGAGCGTCGCGAAAACAGCTGTGGGTAGAGCTGCAGGGAAATCCTTTGCTGTGCGTTAAACATTTTACATCAGCAGATTTCATAAATGCACCAGTAGGTACAGGAAAGGCACGTTTGATGCCAAGTGCTGTTCCTATGACCCTTATGCCGGAAATTCCCTCCAACAACACTACAACTCATAAATTAAAAACAGAAAACAACATACAAATTAACAAATTTTAACTAAAGAAAATATATAAATAAAAATAAACTTCAAATTTACTTAAAACGTCAACCAGTGAAATGTAATTTTTCATTTTTCCTTACACACGCTCATTTTTCTTTTTACTCTCCCAAAAACTTTGACTTTTGTAGGTTTGACGTCAAATTGGCTTCTACCTATTTTTATTGTACCATGGTTGTAATTTACAAATCAAATCAAGCAGTGTATTTATAAATTTCGGCTCAGATATTATTTTTATTTACTTATGTACATATATATGTAAATATATGTTTTCTTTTCATTTAGCAAACCATGTCAATTTGAATTTAAGAATCAATCTGCAAAAATTGATGGTCCATCTCCGTATAAGGGAGTATTTTATGAATCCATAGATGAAGAAATTCATTCTCAACCTTATACAAAATGAAAAAATTTCTAACGAAACACACAGATTTATATTTTAATTTTCATACTCGAAATATAAAAAAAAAAATTAAAACTGTTGGAATCATTATTGCACAGCTGGAATCATAGTCCTGTACCTCGTTTCTGTAGCTCTTCTCTACCGATTATTTCTGTACTGGTAGAGAATATACGTCATTCCAAGGCGAATTAATATAAGGTGATAGCAGGAGTACAAAAACAAAAATTTACATGTATTTTGTTTTTGCTTTGGCGGCATAAACTGTCAAAATCTGTAAGAGTGTGTCTAGAAATTCAAACAAAATTTTTCAATTTGATATCAGAAGCCGGGCGGCGAAACACATACACAAAATCAGCTGAGCTAGTAACACCACCTTATATAAATTCGCCTTGCGTCATTCTTTACTACTCATTATCAGTAGAGAACAGGGCGGCGAATTCATATCTCAATTCGCCTTGGTAGAGAATTGTCACAGAAACAATCTACTGAATCGAAAAAAGTATCGGGAAGCACGACTAAAGTCTGTCAGAATAATTTAAGAACTGAACCGCAGCTATTATACATACATATATATTATTATAATAAAATTCCCGTTCCTGCAAGAATGATAGAATACAAGATTGCGACCATCAGAGAGAATTTTCGTGAATAATTTTTGCATGACGTCGCACTGGTGCAGCTGCGAGAGAGAAATGCCAAAATGCGAGGAAGAATGGAAGAAGAAATTTTGCAAGAGAAACGTAAACAAATTTCGCAAGTGTGACGTCATACAAACAGCGATTTTGTCAAATTCACTGAGAGCGGAATAGCGGTACCGAAATGAGCGCCACCTTTCTTCCCTACATCGTGCCGTTCTTGCAGAATGCTGAAAGAAGTTTTAAAAATTTATATGTTCTGTCGACAGTAAATAATCTTAGCATGTTTAGGGATGAAACGGTACCTTTACTTGAAAGTAGTATCGTAAGAAAGAATCGATACCCGAAAAGTATCGGTTCTAAAGTATCGATACCTACTCGTTTCGATACTTTTGGCTATAAAGGTATTTCGTATGAACTAGATTACATTTAATTTATTTTAAAGAAATAAATTAATCATCCTCGGCGAATCCTAAACTCCGAATAATAAAAATTAATAATGTACGTACGAACTGAAAATAAATAAAACCGCATAACATAGCGAAACTCTATGGTTATTGACTACTATTCGTATTTAACAGAGATAATATCTTGGAAAAGTTTACAAGGAGTTCATCTTGGTTAACCTTAGAATCTTGAATTGGGCACTCAGTGCCTATACTCATGTTTGATGTTGAATTTCGGGTGTTTGAGAAGTCCAATTTAATTTTTGACCATATGAAGACATATTTTACCTTGGTGTATAAGCTGACGAAATTTGGGGCTCGCTGTATAGGCGACACCCGACAGAGGAGGTCTGAATACCGGCGGCGTGTTGGGGGCAGAAACATCATCCGCTGCGGGTTGGAGGTCGTCCTCGTTGGCGTCAATCTTCAGCACCTCGCCTCCGTCGCTCGTTTGGGCGAATGGCCGGATGTTGTACAAACGAAACGGTCGTCTCTGTCTTGTCTCGGGCTCTTCCAGTACTGGCGGCACGTCTTCCTCGCCCGGGGTGCCTCGCCCAAGTGGAGGAGACTATGGTGCCGGTCTCGGCAATGCTCGCATTTCCGGGGAGATGCACAATTTTTCGCTGTGTGATTCGGTGACAGGCAGTTGGCGCAGTAGCGATGCACGAGGACAGCACGCAGTCTCTCGGCCGGTTCCATCCTGCGCATCTCGCTGCAAAAAGCCAGGCGGTAGTTGCTGCGGCGCACTGGGCAGCGGTATTGGCCCTTGTGAGTTTGGGGGTTGGTTTTGGTTGCACGTACCATTTTTCGTTATTGATTTCTGGAAAGAGAGATACGATTATTATTTTGTTTTAGCAATCTGGTAAAAGTATCAATTTTACAATTGGCCGAGTTGATTCCGCGTGCCGTTCGTATTTCTATGACTCGTACTCGGCTGTCCTGACCTGAAAAGACCCTAATTACTCTGCCAAGTAGGGATGCAAACGATGCATCGATGTTTTCAAAACATCGATTTGTCGTCCAAAAATATCGATGTTAACATCGATGTTTTGCTGGACGATATATCGTCGATACATCGACTAGAAAAGTGAAAAACATCGACATCGTCCATTCACTCCGTTCGCATTATGCCGAACGACCAGTGGCAAGCGAGCGCTTGTTCTCGGAAGCTGGTGCAACCATTCAGGATAGAAGCAGGCTTTTGAGGGCTAGATTATCAAAGCTTCTTTTCGGAACTCATTTCAAAATGTTTATTCATATTCAAATAAATAAGATTTCCATATTTAAGCTACATTATAATTATAGCAACATACTTATACTTGTATTGAAATATGCTGCTTGAAGGAAATTTCTATATGTACATACATTCACTGGCGATCAAACGTGAGTGCATGCTGATTTTGGTTAAATATTTGTCGTTTTTTAAGGTAAATTTTTTTGTTATTTTTTTATAAAAATATGATTCATTCCGTAACCGGAACTTAGAAAAATTCAACAAATTTTCATCTAAATTTTGGACTTTTTAGTCTGAATATTTAAAAAAATTCTGGGTATGTAATTCTAATAAAACATGTGCAAGTTTTAAGCGGCTAAAAATCGCTTTGATTTTTAATGATTTTTCTCTGGCGGCTTTTGGGTTTTTTTTTTCATATAAAAGGTTCAATTTATAATAACTGGCGTTGATTTTTTTGATTTTGTTTGCAAAAGGTCTTTCGCATTTAATTCTACAAGAAATTTACTTTTATATGGTAAAAAGTGCAAAACCCCGTCAGCAAAACCAATTCGTTAAAAATCAA